ACAAGTGTTGAAGGTACAAGACATGTGTATACAATTGCTGATGTTAAGCCACAAGATCAAGGTGTATACAAACTAACAGCTAAAAACAAGACATCAGCAGAAGAATCAACTATTACACTCAATGTTACTGGTAAGTTGAATGTGTTTTGATTTGAGACATATGATGTGGTTGAAAATAATTAATGTGTATATCATATAAAGTACTTATGTATTCCAACACTAACAATGGCACGCACAATCATCTCATTCGATGTATCTATAGATAACTTTCCAAACCGTACTACATCTATAATTAATCAACGTAGTTTCCTCTCTATTAACACCATAACATTCAATATCTCGCTATATAAATGCTTTTATTGTAAATTAATCAGTTTATCTGAGTTGCTCGAGTCTATTAATCCGCGTTATTTACTATTTACTATTTCGTAATTTGAACAATTTCTTTGTCCTTTCCATATCAGGTAAAGATATTAAGACAGATTCCGACAACAATCTCCAATCATCAGTTGCACTCCAAAGTAAGATGCATATACTACTGTTGTTCTGTATAACAAAACACTTCCTTTTCATCAACTATATTATTTCATGATTATTTCATCTTGAACTTGTTCTACACTTATAGTTGTGCATATATTCACTAAAACTCCACGATTTCTTAACACTGTCATCTTGAAAACTTCATAGTCACTAGACACTTCACATTAACTATCACATATCACTATATTCTTTTAGCACCACTTGATATCACACAGTCACTAATAGATACTAATGTACTTCTTGGTCAAACTGGTATTTTATCTCTTACATGCAATGCATTTCCGGTACCCAAAGTGACATGGTAAATATAATATTTTCCTAGCTTAATAATAATAATTTGCAATTATTTCAATTAACTTAGGTTTTTCAATGACACTGAATTGAAAAACTCTGCTAAACACAAAATTGAAATCAAAAACAATGTCTTCTCTCTTGCTATCAATAAAGCTGATCATCCTGATGTTGGCACATATCGTGCAGTAGTCGATAATGGTATTGATAAAACAGAACAAACTGCTACACTTAATGTTGGAGGTATGTCTCTTGTCTTTTCTAATGCACAACACTTTTCTCTTCTCTCTTCTAGTTAAACCTAAAGTGGAAGCAGCTAAACCAGCTAATGAACAATCTTGTGTCATCGGACAAGATACTCAAATCTCATGGAAGTTCAGTGGTATCGAAAAACCAGAAGTTACATGGTTATTCAATGGACAACCATTACCTACTAATGACCGATTTCAGATCACTGAAACTGAAGATGGAACATCCACACTGTCGATCAAGAGTGTTGAGCTCACTGATAAAGGTGTTTACACTGCAAAAGCAACTAATGCAGTTGGTGAAGCTGAAGCTAAAACAACACTCAATATTTCTGGTATCAAACCAGTGATCACTGCTGATCTTGAAGCAGCTCTTCAAGCTACTAAAGGTGAATCGATGACAATCAAACTAACTGCTACTGGCACACCTAAACCAGAAGTTGTATGGATGCGAGGTAATGATGAACTTGCTCCAAGTGATCGAGTACAAGTGAGTGGACCAACCGGTGAAGGCGAAGATACATACACAATAACAATCTTGAATGTTCAACCTGAAGATCAAGGTGATTATTCAGCCAAGATCACCAATGTTGGTGGATCACTCAAATCCAAGAAATGCAAAGTCACCGTTATGAGTAAGTCAATCATACGATAATCATACATATAATAAATGTTAATTTATTTAGAATCACCTGAGTTTGTGACAAAACCAACCGCACAAGAAGTGAAACAAGGTGAAACAGCTTTGTTTGAGACAAAGATTGATGGATATCCAACACCAAAAATCACATGGCTTCTCAATGGTAAACCATTAACAGCTAAAGAAGGTGGACAAGTTGAATTTAATGCAGCAACTGGTGATGCTAAATTATCAGTTGCAAAAGTTGATCTTCAACAACATTCAGGTATTGTAACATGTCGACTTGAGAATGCACATGGAAGCCAAGAAGAAACTGCTCGACTTGATATTCTTGCTGCACCACTCATCACAACTCAGTTGCCAAAAACCGAAGAAACAGTTAGTGGAAAAGATGTGACATTGCGAGTAGTTGTTCGTGGTTCACCTCGACCAGAAGCACAATGGTTCTATAATGATACACCTGTTGCACCTGAAAATACTGCATATGATGAAGAAAAGAGTGAATATCAATTGTTAATCAAAGGAGCAACAGTAGGTGCAAACGAAGGCACTTATCGAGTAGTATTGAAGAATGATCTTGGTGAAAGTGAATCTACACCATGCACATTAACTGTACTTGAACCAGTTAAGTTGACAAAGATTGGTCCTGCCACGGATGCTGTTGATCTAAAAGTAGGTGAAGCATTTGAGATCTCATTTGATGTTGATGGAAAAGAAGCGCCAAAAGTACAACTTACCAAAGATGGTAAAGAAGTGAAATTGACAAGTGTTGAAGGTACAAGACATGTGTATACAATTGCTGATGTTAA